CTAAGTGCTCCTCTGCCCGCCCCAGAGTGGAAGCTGACTAAATTGCCCATTGACCTTTTAACTCTATTTTAAAAATTTAAGTGGTTCAGGGAAAAAAATCTTCCCTTGGTTTAGAGGGTTCACAACCAGTGTGAAGAGTGTGCAGCAGGCGGTGCCCCAGAGAGGGGCCAGGTGCAGTCTCCATGGGTAAGGACACACTTCCACCAGAGTATGCACATGTCCACTGTAGACCTGAGGGCACATGCATGCATGTGTGTACGCCTGTGTACACACACATGCAGGTAGGGAGGCCGGGGCGCACGGCTCCTCCCTCCTCCAAGCACCCACTTCCTGTGGTCCTGGTCTGTACCCCTCCCTGGCAGGCTCAGTGTGCCTTCCCCTCACCCACTCTGCAGAGAGGAGACAGGCAGGTCACCTTCCTGCCCTCCTGGGGCGCAGGTGAAAGGCGGACGGGGCGGAGACCCATCCTGGCTGAGGGGCTGCGGGCTTCGAACCCTGGCCCCCTGCTCCCGGCTGGGGCAGTGCTCTCGCTCTCGTGAGAGGGGCCCCAGCATTCCTGGCTGCTCTGAGCCCGGGCGCCTTTGAAGTTGGCCTTGAAATCTGAGTCGGTGTGACCCACCTCTCCCTGCTGCCACTCTGGCCCTCGAGGGCTGTGTCTCTCAGGAAACAGCCGGGCTCCCGAGCGAGGTCGCACTGCGGCATCCGCCGCGGCTGTGCCCGTGGCCTCCCATCTGCTCCACGCCCGGCCTCTGGGCCCTCAAACCACACCAGGCCCGGACCCCTTCCCTGCCCTCCCTCCTTCACTCCCTCCCTGGCCCCTCCCCGCCGGGCTTCCCTCCATCCCCCTCCCACCCCAGTGTCCCATCCGCCTCTGAAGTCTGCAAGTTCATCAGTGTGCAGGTGACAGAGTCAACACGGGCCGAGCCAAACCCCAACAGAAAATAGATACACAAGCAGGGAGGGCTCTTCCATGTACCTGCCCAATGGCAAGGACGTCACAAAGTGTGGCACAAGCCACGGGCCCGTGGCCACTGCAGCCCGACAGGGGAACAGCACCAGGAAGAACCGTGCCCGGGAGCTGCCATGGTCCTGCAATGGAGTCCGTGGCCAGCGGTCTTTGTTTCAAACCCTTGTGTGACCTCATCTGACCTTCAAAGCCCGTGGTGCCTCAGACCCTGGGGTTTGCTTGCCCCTTAGGACAACACAAGGTCCCTGCAGCATCCCGCCCGGGTGCACACCACTGCATCCCCCAGAGCCTCACTGTGCCCCCCACCGAGGTGACAGCAGCACTCACCGCTCCCAGCCTCCCCTTGGGTCCCCACCCTCCATGTCCCCCTCCTGGGAGCCAGGACCTCTGGTGAGAAATCGAGAGGAAGCAGAAGAGGCCCTGAGGTTTCCCCTCAGGGCCTCCACCAGGTCTCCAAGCTGCTCTCAGGAGAGGAACCCAGAAAGCAGCAGAAACCAGAGAGGGGTTTCCATGCCACACCCCAGGAGAGAGGAAGCTCGGGGTTCAAGGCCCCCAAGAGCAGGTGCCCGGAAGGCACCCAAGTCCGCAGTTGGACCCCTGGGGGGTAGGTGCTGCACACAGAAGTGAAGTGGGAAGAGGGCAAACAAGAGCCACAAGGCTGCACCCAGTGAGCAGGGTCCAGTGGACAGCAGCGAGCAGAGCTTGGCAGAGGGTTGTTCACAAGCCCCAAAGCAACACAACAGGTACAAAGCAGCCAGGGGTGTCGGCACACGCCTGTACCCCAGCACTCAGGGAGGCTGAGGCAGGAGGATCCCAGGTTCAAGCCTAATTGGGGTATTTAGAGACTTAGCAGGCCCTGTCTAAAAAAATGAGCTGGTGATGTAGTTCAGTGCAAAGGCCCTGGGTTCAATCCACAGTACTGCTGAAAGAAAGAGAGAGAGAGAAAGGAAGGAAGGAAGAAAGAAAGGAAGGAAGAAAGAAAGAAAGAAAGAAAGAAAGAAAGAAAGAAAGAAAGAAAGAAAGAAAGAAAGAAAGAAAGTTAGTTACAAAGTGAAGTTGGGAGCAGAGTAAAGAGAGAAAGTGGACAATAGGGGGAGACCCGGTGACTGGATCTGTAGCTCTGAGTTGACAGTGGCTTGGCGCACGTGCTCAGGGAAGAAAGCACGCCGGAGGCTGAGGCAGGGAGTGAATCTGGAGAAGCTGTCAGAGCCCGGAGAGCTGAGACGTCTGGAAGCCTGAGGGGCAGGGCTGCCAGTGTGTGGGCGGAGCAATGTACTGGAAGCCGGGGCTGAGGGTCAGGACGCACAGAGGGAGCAAACCCAGGTGAGGGAGGGCAGAAGAGTGGGCCAGGCCCTGGCAGGGACCAGAATCTGCGGACACTGAGGCAGGAGGAGCCACCGCAGAGAGGAGGAAGGGGGAAGGGGGTGGGGAGGAGGAGGAGGAGGAGGAGGAGGAGGAGGGCCTTTCCTTCCTCCGCACGGCTCTGTCTGCTGGGGCCTGAAAACCGATCTTGGTAAGGAGAGCCCAGCCGAAGTCGAAATGGAAAACAGACCGTGGGCGGCTAGAGCGCAGCCCAGACGGCCGGGATCAAAGGCAGCCGGCTGTCCACGGGCCCCAGCACGGCGTCTGGTTATCAAATTTGCACTTGGCAGCCTCTCTCCTGCTCACTCTCCTGGAAGGAAGGAAGACCCAGCCAAGCCAGGTAACAGTGGAGGGGCGGATGCCGCCATCTGCAGAGCCACCTGCTGCTCCTGCTTCCGGTTCCAGCCCTGTTCTGTAAGCACCAGCTTCACACCAGCCCTTCGGCTCCAGCCTGTGCGGCCTGCACAGCAGCCTGGCAAGCGGCAGGGCTGCAGCCACCCTTCAGGCGGGAGACCCGGCCCCTCCCCTGGCCTGTGTGGCTGGCATGTGGCAGAGTTACAGCACAGAAGTGGCTCTGCGGGGCTCAGATGCTGCTTATGGATGCGGCTTCCAGTCCTCCTGGGGCAGGGGTTTTCAAGCCGAGTCCGTGGGGATGGGAAACAGAAAAGGGCCAAGGTGGAAAGGCAGTGCTGGGAGCCAGACCAGCCAGCTCTGCTGTGTAACAACTACCAGCTCCACGGTGTGCAGCAAGAGCCAGCACCATCTTGGCCGGGAGCACTGGGCCTGAGCCCTGTGCAGTGGCTCTCGGCCCCCAGCAGGCTGGCTTGGGGAGCAGCCACAGGGCCAGCAGGGGCCACAGGGCAGGGCACTCACAGACACGGGCGGGTCCTGAACGTGACAATGGAGCGCGGGCTCTGCTCCCCGACCTGCTGTCCTGGGGAGACAAAGTCACAGGGCTGGCCGGGAGACAGGAGGGCCCCATCAGTACCTGCAAAGAATCACCTAGGAGCAGGCATGGTGTGCAGGCTGCCACTCTGTGCCGGACAGACCCAGCCCCCGCCCACTGTCCCCTCCCCCCCAGGGCCAACCTGCACCCTCTGCCTGTGTCTAAGTGCCAGTCCTGTCCACTCACTGGGCCCAGCGTGGTCACCAGAGCCCTGCAGGGATGCCTGGCCCTCCGCACCCCCACAGGCCGAGGCTGCTTCTGTGGCCGTGTTCCCCACCCTCCCTGGGCCAGGCTGAGACCCACTGACTGCCTCCCTTCGGCTGCAGCAGGGAGACTGAGGCTGAGGGCGGCAGCCTGGCCTCCCGGGAAGGCCTCGTCCATTATCGGCCGGGCGCTGTCATCACGCGCCAGGCGCAAATCAGAATCAAATGTGGTGCCCGGGCGGTGAGGCCAGGCCTTCACATTTGCAGGGAAGCTGGGGAGCGGGGCGAAGCCTGGCTGTCAACTTGAAAGGCGGGAAGGACTGGGCCTCGAGGATGCCTGGAACTTTGGTTTTCATTTTCCCTCCTGGCTCCTCAGCCTCCGAGAGAGGACAGGCAAATCCCACAAGAAAGCGGCTCGGGTCGGCCTAAGCGAAGCCACGTGTCTCTGCCCTGCTTTAGATGTTTGGAAATGTTTTTTTTCTAATGCCTGGGCCCCCAAAATCTCGGACATGTGGGCCAGAGGACACCCCAGGCAGTGTGCAGGGGTCAGAGCGGGGTGTGCACAACCCCAGCAGCTTCGCTCCAGCTCATGGGGGTCACAGAGGCTCTGGGGCTCCTGGCACCCCCACGCATTACTGCCCTCTGCGGCCTCACCACGGCGAGCTCTCTGGGCCCCAGATGGGCGATCCCCCACCATCCTGCTTGGTCTCCCTCCAACCTTCAGCTCCTCCCCCCACCTGACCCCTCGCCTCTCTGGGAGGAGCTGCTCCCCTTATCCCAGCCCCGCTCCTCCGGCACCGGCAGGCTTCTGGCTGAGTCCCAGGCCGGCCTGGGAAGGTTCAGGGCTCCCCTCGGCTGTGGGAGGGACCTGTGTGGGGACACTGAGTCTGCACCCCAGTAGGGAGGGGGCCCAGGGCTGGCTCCCCCTTTAGGCTGGGGCGTCCCCGAAATGAAGATCACTGCCTGGGCCCTGCCTGCCCATCTGTCTCGGTCACTGCCCCATCCCGGCCCTGTAGGCCCACAGGTACGGACAGCTCATCTCCCCCGCCCCTCACCTCCTGTGGCCTCTCCACACAGCCTCCTCCTGGCCCGTGGCCACTCTGATCTCACCAGTGTCCCTCACTAATGCCACCTTCTGGTCCCAGCAGGGAACCCTGGTGTGGCTCGGCTTGCTGCCCCATGAGCCCAGGCGTCCCTGGCTGAGCCACCACCCCAGTGAGCCTTGTGGGGGGCTACTGGAGCCACCAACCAGGCGTCCTGCACCTGCCCCCCACAGCAGGACCCAGGGCCAGCTCCTGGGACTCCCAGTCACGGCCCGGCAGGTATAGACAGAAGCTTGACCAGGGCGCATGTTGAACCCCAGCAGGGGAGGAAACCGAAGCAGAGAGGGGCGCCTCCCCTGGGCCAGAAAGTCAGGACCTGTGGCTCTGGTCCCAGCAGCTAGGGGCTGTTAGCTTGTACCTGGAGTGTCCTCGAAGGCCACAGCCTCAGATGTGCTGCTCCCCTTCGCTGGGTACCTTGAGGGAGGGCCCTTGTGGGCGGAATTGAGGTCACGGGGGCGTGGCCTCAACTGGGACAGCTGGACCAGCCCTTCCTGTTGCTCTGCTTCACGAGCGCCGCTGCCCTCTCCCCACCACGGCCTGTGCTGCCAGCCCCAGAGCAACAGGGCCAAGGACGGTGCAACCCTGAGGCAAAACAAGCCCTCCCTCCCGCTGAGCGGACGCTCTTAGGCTCCCTAACGATGGAACCATTGGCCTGGTGACCTTGCAAGCGTCTGACCTCCTCACGTCTGCCCAGGAAGCCACACAGGTCGGATGTGAAAGCAATTTGTTAGGGGTCGGATCCTGTGTGGGAGAGTCACTGACCCCCTGTTCGCGGCTGTCAGGGCCGACCCAGCTGTTCCTCACCTCTCTGAGATACTCCTGGGCCCTCACAGCAATCCCAGAGTCCCTTCTCAGCCTGGGATGTTCAACTGCCCCACCTGAGTGCACTTCCGCCACCAGGCCCTGGGACCAAGAGAATCAGCCTCCGCGGAAGCAGTGGAGCAGGCGCAAGTCGATCTGAACAGACGCACACTTTTCAGGACATAGATCATGAAAGAGTCAATAAATCGAAACCTATGACAATGAAAAACTTTGCGTTGTCAAAGCTTCTAAAGAGGGCCGGGGATTTAGCTCAGTGGTTCCACTGCCTGCCTCGAAAGCGCAAGGACCTGAGTTCGATCCCTGGTACCAAAAGAGAAAAATAGCTTCTAAAGAACACAGAGGCACACCACAGACAGGGAAAAGAGATCTGCGAAACGCACATCTGTGAAGAGCTTGTACTTAGAATATGTATTTTTAAGAACGCAGACAAACTGATAATAAGTTAATTGAATTCTGAAATGGGCAAGAGATTTGAACAGATACATAAATAAAGACATATTCACAGCCAGCAAGCTATGCAAAGAAGCCCAGCACCGTCAGTCTTTATGGCAGTGCAAACAGAAGCCACAGCAAGACCCTACTGCACTCCACAGGCAAGGCTGAGACGCTGGAAGTGAAGGGCTGAGAGCAAACGCAGGAACAGATTTGGAGCAGTCGGACTGCCCACCTCACCCCAGAGGCCAGCGGGAGAACTGGTCCCTTTGCAAACAGGTGGGCAGTGTCTCACGTGGTCATCCAGAGGACTGCACTGGGCCCCAGCTGTACATGAGAAATGGTATCCTGTGCCTACACCAAACCTGTCCTCACGTACGTAGCGCGACCCCTCAGGGCCAATGAGGGTTTTGCTTCAGTTGTCACACACTCATAAATTTAAATGCATCTGGGGCATTGCTGATCATTGCAGTTAAGACACTCATCACCCTTAGGGAAGCTCAGATTTTCCACGTCCCCCATGGAAAACTTTCCATGTCAGCATCTGTCTTGGTCACTTTCCTGTTTCTGGGACACAATACCCACAACTTAAGGAGGAGAGGTTTATTTTGTCTCATGGTTTCAGAGGGTTCAGTCTGTGGTCGGCTGCCTCAGAAAGGCGGAAATGGCAGACATGGCCAAGTAACATGGCAAAGGAAAGCTGCTACCATCAAACTGGGGAGAAAGTAGAGAGAAAGGAAGAGCTGAGGACAAGATTGTACCCTGCCAGGCCACACCCCAGTGACCACTTCCAACCAGGCCCCACCTCCTACAGCACAGTAAGCCATGAGTTACTCCTTGATCTAGTCATCTTCCACACACAGGAGATTTGGGGGCTCTTTTTTTAGATGTAAACCATAACAACATCAGTCCTTTTTGTCTTCAATATCTTTTGTGTGTGATAAAATATCCACAACATTAAACTGACCATTTGAACTGTTTTCAAGGATGCATTTCAGTACCATTCTCATTGTTGTGCAGCCATCACTACCCCATGAGAAACCTCTCACTTCATGCTGGTCAGCTCTCCCACACTGTAGCTAGTCTGAGACAATCAACTTATAAAGCAGAAAGGTTGATGCTAGCTCATGGCCGTGGAGGCTTCAGGACCTAATATGTTGGCCCCATTGCATGGGCCCTATGGTGAGGCAGCATGTCATGATGAGGACACACGATGGACAAGCCACTCTCCTCATGGACAGAAAGTAAGAGGAAACCAGGACCGGGCCTGGCAGGTCCCACTCTGTTCTTCACGTGCATGCCCCAGTGAGCAAGGCTCTCCCACAAGGCTCCGCCTCCCCAAGGTTCCAGCAACAGCACCACTCTGGAGACTGAGACTCTAACACAGAGTCTCTTAGGGGACACTGAAGGTCCAGCTACTGTATCCTGCAGAATTGAAACTCTATTCCCATTCAGAGCTAACTCCCCTTGCCTGCCCCTTCCCTAACCTCTGACAACAGCCACTGTACTCTCTGTCTCTATGGGTTTTATTCTGGGCATTTCACACGCATAGAATGAGACAACATGTGGTCTCTCATGATCATCTCTTTTCACTGTGCTTAATGTCCTCAAGGTTCATTCACATTGTACCGCCTCTCAGAATTTCCTTCCTTTTTATAGCTGAATACTATCCCATTGTATGAATTTTGTCTGTCCATTCTCTTGTCAATGGATACTTGGGTTCTTTCCGCTTGTTATGGTTTAGATCTAAAATGTCCCCCCAAACTCTCATGTGTTCAGAGGTGGGGCTTTTGGAAGGTAACTGGATTGTGGGGGTGCTATACACATCAGTGGATTAATCCATGGATGGGTTTGCAGCTGAATGTGCAGATAGGCAGCAGGGCCTGGTTGGAAGTGTTCACAGGTATGTGACCTGGAAGGGTATAGTCTTGTCCTCAGCTTCTCCATTCTCTCTCTGTTTCTTGGTCACCATGGGAAGGGCAGCTTCCCTCCACCAGATCCTTCTGCCATGCCATTTCTGCTTTGGAACTAATCAGCCATGGACTGATCTTCTTAAACCATAAGCCAGAATAAATCTCTCCTCCTTTAAATTACAACTGTTGGGTATTTTGTCCCAGTGATGAGAAAGTGACTAATACAGAAAATTGCTACCAGAAGTAGAGACATTGCTATAACTGTACCTGACTGTGTGGTTCAGAAGCCTTTGGGAATGGTTTGTGGGAAAAGTTTAGAGAGGCAGCTAAGGAAGCCCTAGAATGTTGTGATCAGAGCTTGATGGGTGATTCTGGTCAGAGCTCAGAAGACTGGAGTGCTGATAAAAATGTGGACAGTAAAGGCCAGGCTTATGAGGTTTCAGATGGGACTGAATACTCTTTAAAATTGGACTAGGGGCCATTTGTGTTACACTCTGGCAAAGAACTTGTCTACTTTTTGCCAATGTCCTAAGACTTTGAGTAAGGCTGAATTTAAAGTTTATGGACTAATTAATTTGGCAGAGGAAATGTCAAGGCAACACAATGTTCAGGCTGTGCTTGGGAACTGCTGGCTGCTTTTAGCCAGATTTATGGTGAGAGTCAGGGGAAACATGTAGAGCCAAAAGATGTGAAAATTGTGCAACTTGGCCAGAAAGGAGAAGCCTATAAAATTGGAGCCAAGGAGTGGGTGGTTGCTGAAAAGATTGGTACCATTAAAAAGAAGAAAAGTATTTTGCACTGGAACAATAGGAAACATGCCTTTCGGGCATCTCAGGAATTGACTAGACCCCACCCATCACAGACCCAAGGGTGTAAAAGGGTAAACTTCTTCGAAAGACTTTGCTTTAAGGAGAGGGCCCCAGGGTGCTCTGCTCACTCAGAGCCACATAGGGGAATATTCCCCTAGTTCAGCCATTGAGGCACTCAGAGGTGACTGGCCATGGATCAAGAAAGCCCAGCTACTACTCAAGCTGGTGGCAGACCTTGGTATCATCCACTTGGTGCAGTTCTGGAAGCATCCAGAACATGATTTGTGGAGTCATGAAGGCTTCCACTCAGATTTCAAAGGAAGGCCTGGAAGGCCAAATATGTGTCTCTGAAAGGGCACAGCATGAAGCTTTGAGAATGAAGCTGAGAGTCTGGTGAAGACCTCAAGAAGTTGAAGATGCTGGGAACATGGAGCATCTACTGAGGAAAGCTGTAGGCAGTGAGCAAAACCAGTGAAGAGAGAGGCCAGGTGGGCTGCAAGTAGCAAGGCCATAGGGGTGGGGCTTGCAGTGACACCCTCTAGAACTCACAACTATCACCACCTACACTGGATGCTGGTCATGGAGCTACAGGAGTTAATGTTTGCCCTGCTGGGTTTTGGCCTTGCTTTAGTCCTATTCCTTTCTATCTCCCCATTCTTCGTTCCTGAAATGGGAATGTTAACCCTGTGCCATTGCCCATTGGAAGTGTTTAACTTTCTTTTTTATGTTTACAGGCCTCACAGTTAAGAGTTTGCATTGAGACTCAGAGGAAACCTTGGACTTGGACTTTTCTGCAATACCGGAACTGTTAAGACTTTGGCAACTCTTAGAGATGGACTAAATGCATTCTGCATAATGAGATGAACATCAGTCTTTGGGGGTGAAATACTATGGTTTAGTTCTAAAATCTTACCCAAAAGCCTCCTGGGTTGAGAGGTTGGGCCTTTGGCAGGTGATAGGCTCATGGGGCACTGTACTCCTCAGTGGATTTATCCATTAAGGTGTGTTCAAAGCTGACTGTGCTGTGAGGAGCTGGGGCCTGGTTGGAGGTAGGTCACTAGCTGCATGACATACCTGGAAGGGTGTGCTCTTGGCCCTGACTCCTCTCTCTGCTTCCAGGCTGCCATGGGTTGGCAGCTTCTCTCTGTCATGTCCTTTCCACCATGCCCTTTCCCAATGATCACATTGACTGAATCCTCTGAAACCATGAGCTAAAGTAAACCCCTCCTCCTTTACATTGCAGGTGTCAGGTATTTTGTCCCAGCAACAGGAAGGTGACTCATTCAGTACTTCATAGCCACTGGGAAGAATGCTGCTAAGAACATGGGTGTACAGATTGCTATCCAAGTCTCTGCTTTCAGTTATTCTGGGTAGATATCCAGGAGTGAGATTGCTGGATAACATGCCAGATAGGTTTGATGTTTTGAGGGATAGACAGCTGGGCTGATTCCCACAGCGCACATCGGACACTCCCACCAGTGGTGCTCAGTGTTCCTTCTAGTTCCCCGCAGCATCACCAACACCCATGGCTTCCTGGTTTTGATGCCAGCCTTCCTGGTGGTGCCTGAGTCTTTGTGATGTGACTTTGTGGTCTTGGCTTGCCTGCAGGTCTGGTGAAGTGGTCCAGGCTGGAGATGTAGGTGTCCTGCCCTGCAGGTAGCTTTATCTTGAAGGACTCTGGTTTCTTTTGGTGGGAAATGAAATTTTGGAACATTGCTCAGCTCATTACTCCTGCTTGGATGGTGTGTCAGTCTCCTCAGTGGACAGAGGGGAGAACGCTGATGAGCAAGCCATGTCACATGGAGCAGCTCCTGGAAGGGGCAGGCTCCAGAGGGATGGGGGCACCACTCCATGGGGAAGGTGCCAGCCAGGAGACAGCATTGGCTGAAGAACTGAGGGACAATGGCCTGAACTAGAGAGGAAAGTTCCAAACCAAGGCTACAAGAAGTGCAAGTTCCTAAAAATAGGGAACTGGAGACCAAAGACCCCATGCGTGCAGTGCCATGAGCAAAGAGGAGAGTGACAGGAAACTGGCGGGAGGTGCTCTAGAGCCCAGGTGTCTTGTAGATGAGTAGGGAAGGACGTTGCCTCATGCCCTGGGTCTGTCGGGAGTCACTGGGTGTTTAGTGATGGGGACACAATCTTGCTTGTGGTGACTGTTAATCAAAGTATGTGGATTAAGAACCACCTAGCAGATTGGTGGAACACAGTTCTGGGCCGGTCTGCTGATGACCGGCAAGGAGGCCAGCAAACTGAGGGCAGAAGATCCACCCTGGATATGGGCAGCACCAATCAATATACCCACAGTCTGGAAGGCATAAAAAGGGAAAGAAGGGAGTGTGCCCGTTTTGAAGAGCTCCAGTCTTCCTGAGCAGGTCCAACTTTTACTGCCATCACCCTTGGACCTCAGTCTCCAGGTCTCTGGCTTCTTCAGCCTGCAATGCAGACTCAACCGGGCAACTCTCCAGGGAGCGCCCAGGCCCTCAGCCTTGGACTGCAGCTGCACCCTTGGTCCCTCTTGCTCTTCGGTTTCCCCTTCTTGGGCTGAGCAGCTGCTGGATCCTTGGCCCTCCAGGGTGCAGATGGCCACTGTGGATGCTGCCTCTCACCCTGGAAGCTGATCTAATTAATCCCCTCACATAATACTCACATATTCTCTCTCAGCTCTGCTCCTCTAGAGAACCCTAAAGAGCAGAGTTCCTCCACCACTCCGTGTGCGCCGTCTGTGGGGAGTGAGGCAGGAGGTGAGTCACCCTGCAGGGAGGACGCACTAAGGAGATGCATCAAAGCCAGGGTGGATCCCCACAGCACCCCTGGCAGGCAGCTGCTGCCCTCCAGGTCACGGTAGGGACTGGGTCTAGGGGCTGGGGTGCAGGAGTGAAGAAGTACTCTGCCACAGCACACATCTGCTGTGTCCTCTGTGGGAGATCTCACTTCCGGCTCAAAACCAGTAGCCCCCTTACTGGGACTCAGTGTGCCCAGACACCTCCTGGGGTCACTGCACATGACCTCTCTTTGTTCTTCCTAGGTCCTCAGGCGGAGACTTACTGGTTCTCTACAGATTGGGGCACTGAGGCCCAGACATGCTGCTCCAGGCTGGCTGCAGAGGAGGCAATGGAAACAGCCTTGGCTCAAAAGTGGACACCGAATTCGAAGTTTAAAAAGTATCCAGGTGACAACCTGCAATGCCAGTCCAGAGCTGCTCCATGTCCTCTGTGGTCGGGGCCAGCTGGGTCACAGTGGGAGCTGGGAGCTGAGGGAAAGATCGGCAGAGTCAGGGGGCCTGACACAGAACCCCAAGCCCCTCTGCCTCCTCTTGTGGCAGCTCAGGACCCTCCTGTCTGTCACCTGGGCCCCCAACCCTGTGACTATGAGCCCCCGAGGGCAAGGCCAAGTCTCCTTGATTCTCACACTGCCTCCAGGATGGCCGCTGCTGTGGACGCATATGAGACAGGAGGAAGAAGCTGTACAGACTCGGGCTGGGTAAGCAGAGACTGGGAAGGCCTAGTGGACCACGGAGGACAGCAGGGCAGCCCCTGGGGAGGGAGGAGCCTGGCCGCTGGGGTCAGCACCAGGGACAGCGCCAGGGACTGCGGCAGGCCCCGGGCCCCACAGGAGGAGGCCAGCTAGCCAGCTAGCCTTCTTGGTTCCTTCTGGGTTAGTTTCCTGGGCCCCCGGTGTCTCAGGGAACAGCACCCCCTTTCCCAGGAAGATATGGGGTTCAGCTGATGGCCAGAAAGGAAGTGGGGTGAAAGGCGTTTAATGAATCTGCGGTACAGGGAAGGTGTCCAGCTTATGGTCCCGATGTTGGGCTAACAGGACAGGGATGGCAGGACTAGGCCAACCCCAGGCAGGGGCTGCTCTGTGAGAGGACAGCATCATCCAGGGCTCAGGGGCTTCTTCTCAGACCTGACCTTGGGAAGTCCCACCATGTCTGTCTGCGGGTGACTTGGGGTCCCTGGCTCTCTGCAGCTGTGATCTGCTGGTTTCCTTCCCCCTCTGGCTCTGGCCAGCCACCTCTGGAGACGAGGAGGCCCCACAGCAGGCTTGGGTGGGGGCCTGGCCCTGGACTTGTGGCGGGCAGCAGCAGAGGGGCAGGGACAGGGCAGTGCAGCTCCTCCCCCCATCCAGAGGGGTGCCCGCACATCCACCTCTCCGAGCCGGCCTGTCACCCACGTGACGTTGCCACTGCGAGGGGCCGCGGCCGCCTCCCCACCTGGCTCCTCACCTGCGCCCTCCTCCCTCCCGGAAGAGCAGTCCAGGAAACACCCTGGCACCGCCCCCGCCTCAGGCTGGCCGCAGGAGCTCCCTGAGGGCCTGTGGTGTGTGGCGGAAGTGGTGCTCAGGGCAGGTCCCCTTCTTCGTCCCTGACTGTCATGCTGCACTCTCTTCCCAGAAGAGCTGCTAAATTTAGGAGTGCATTTCTCTCTGATGACCAGGGGCTGCCCGTAAGCAGACCTGTTGGGGCCCAGGCGGGAGCCCAGCCCTGCGGCCGATCCCAGACCCCTGTTTCTGGAACAGGAGGGCAGAGTGTGCTGTGCACAGGCTCGCTGTCAGCTGCGCCCCACGGGAAGCTGCCCCTTCCTCATGGGCACAGGTGGAGGGCACAGAGGGTGTCGAGGCCCCAGAGCAGCCCCTGGCCATCGGAGGAACTGTGTCGCGCCTGAGGTCTGATCCAGCTCCGGCCTCCCAGAAGGCAGGAATCCCACTCCCAAAGACTCATCAAGACCGGAGTGAGGTGAAGGGTCATTGGCATCTGTGGGTGTGCATGCAGCCCATGACTGGCGTTATTCCACACTCAGGACAGACCCCTGCGTGAACGCTGCATCCGCTGTCTCTGAGGAGAGACCCCGAGGCTCTGAAGGTCCAGTTTCTGCCCTGGGCTTGGTGGGGCGGGCACAGTGGGCCCTGGTTCTGTGCTGCTCCTGCATTTTTTTGTGCCAGGTGTGGTCTGCAGTATGACAGAGCCGTGCGACCACAGTGGGGCTCCTGAGCAATGCTGGGGTTGAAGATTCTCACCTGCAGGCCCTGGGCACCCGAGAACTAGGAACTCCTCCAACTCCCATCTGGCCCTGGAGTCTGCAGCTCACCACAGGTGCGGTGCGGCAGAGAACCGCATTCCAAGAACTTCCTGTGTCCTGAGCCCCTGAGGCCCCTGAGCTGACCACCCGACTCCTACCTGGAGGTGCCCATCCCTCTCGGCCCTGCCCCACCCCAGCTGTGAAGCCACCCTTGTGTGGATCAGTGCCCTCAGCCTGGGGACACCAAGGCCAGGCTCACCTTCCCTCTCCATGGTCCACGGAGGCCTGTCCAGCGCAGTGCCTGGGAGCATGGTGGGGCTGTCAGCTGGTTTCCCCAGGAGCACACCCTGCATTAGCCACAGGCACCCATCCCCTGTCTCAGGCTCTGCTCTAGGCCCAGCTGCACACACCCCATGCCCCTCCTCAGGCTCTCCGCCTGCACTGCCGAGGGCTCTGGCCACCAGCCAGGAGGAAGGTAAGAGCAGAGAGGACGAAACCTTACCAAGCACTGCAGCTGACCAGAGCAGGTCCTGGTGAGGAGCTGACAGAGCTGGGGACAGGGTGAGCACAGCATAAGGGGAGCCCGGGAGGCCAGAGGGAGTGGGCAGAGTCCCAGAAGGCTGTGGCCAGGGTGCAGAGTCCCTCGAGCTCTGGGGGAGTCCTGGGGGATGGAGGCTGGGCTGGGCTGGAGGAGAGGCAACTGGCGGGGTTGTCATGGCCACGAGGCTGGAGAACTGTTCTGCAGCTGGGGAGGAGGAGGGATTCCTTCTTCCCATAGGGATAGTAGCCCTTGGATTTGGGGTCCACCTGGTTCGTCCAGGAAGTGTGGTCCCAGGCAGGCAGTGGGGTGGCTCTGAGGGGAGCCTGAGGTGGGTGTGAGATAGGACAGTCGGGACACATGCACGGGGTCCTCTGGGCACAACAGACCAGCCGCAGCACCCGCAGCGAGGCCATTGGGCTGAACATCTGCACTGTGTCTCTGCCTGGCCTGGTGCGGGCCCCGGGCCTCCTTCCACGTGGCGGGCAGAAGCCTGGCCCCCCACCTGCAGTGTTCCTGGTGCCCCTGGGGACATCCTGGGTGGCTCTCCTGACCCCCTGCCCCAGTCCCACCTAGCCTTGGCCCCTCGGCTGTTTCTCCTCCTCTCTTCACAGGCGCAGGGTCACTGCCCTCAGCCCCTCCTCCCTGTGACTCCACCTGGCCACCCTGGAACCTCCCTGGAAGAGACCCCGAGGTTCCTGTGGCTGTCTCGCAAGGTTTACTGGATGGGGACAGCGACGCCCTCTGGCTTCCCAGAAACGTCTCCCAGCCGTGTCCAGGGCGGGCAGGTCCTTGGCCCCTCTCCCCCTCCTAGCGGCCCTGGAGGCCAACCCTGCCCTCTGGACACCAGGAAGCCAGCCTGTCCTCACCAACACGAAGCCCCGCCTCCAGAGCGCCAGCCTCACCGCTCCATGCCTGCTGCGCCCACAGCCACCCTCTGGTCCCCAGCACCATGGTCCCCTTCCCACCCCCGTTCTCCTCCCACCCCAGCGCCCAGTGGTCCTTCATCCCAACAGAGGGGAAGCAGTGTCCTCCCGTGTCCTCCGAGTTTTCCCCAGCTGGCCCTGCCTCTCCTTCAGCCCTGGCCATCTGACGGCCTCAGAGTCCCGAGGGCACACCAGGTGCCGCTCACCCCAGGGCCTCTGCATGGCCCTCACACTCCCCAGGCACCGCCCCTCCAGTCTGCATGGAAAATCCTTCCGTGTGAGGCGAGGCCCATCCAGTCGCAGCTGCCCAGCCTCAGCCACACCTGCCCCCTAAGTAGGCCCCCCGCCCACTGTAACCCTCTGCCGGGGCTCTTAGAGCCTTCGAATGAGGACTCCAAGCTGTGCGTTGGTGCTGTCTCTCTCCCTGCTAACTGTGAGCTTTGCTGTCTGTGGGCGGCGGGGCTCCCCACTCCGGCCCCTGGAGACTTCGAGGGGAGGAAGAGCAGCAGGCCTGGGGGCGGAGAAGCTGCCCAGTGCTTTACCCTCAGGGCCACGCGGCGCTGCGCCCCGTCACAACCCCCTGAGACCCCACTGGACGCATCCCCACCATGTCTGCCACGCGTGACCATGCTGCTCCGGCACTGTCTCAGCATCTGCTGGCCCAGGCCACTAAAGAGGAATCCGCTGGGCTTCACTGGAGTGGAGCTGAATCTGCAGATGAGTGAGAGCACAGCGGACCCGTGAGAGCCAGGCTCCCCCAGCAGGTCTCAGCTGCCGAGTCCTGGGGTTCACTCACAGTTCTGCACCCAGTGATGCGCATTATTTTGATGTTAGATGAATCCCTCGGTGCTTCGTTTTTGTCCACGTTGCAACATATTTTCATCACACTTTCCATCAGTGGAATACAAGCACCACTGACTATTACTATTATAACCAGAAACTGCTGGAGTCTGTCTTCAGACCTGACGGGTTCTCTTGGATTGTTTTTGGTTTGCTACGTAGAAAGCCACAGGGCAGGAAAACAGGGACAGCCCCGTGGTCTCCTCAGCCATCACGACATGGCCATGTCTTCTCCCTCCCCAACACGGCTGACATCTCCGGGCGGGACAGGGACAGGCGGCTTGCTTTACAGTGGACATGAAAGGGGCTTCCTTTCATCTGTTTGCCACCACGCAGCTCGCTTTCTGGAGAATCCTCTGATCTAGTTTGCTTGCGAAATCCTTCTCATTGGGCTGCAAAGTTTCCATTTTTTATCCTCGTTGCTAAATGAGTTTTAGAAATACAAATGAATTTTCATCATTCATTTTTTTGAAATCCTAACCATAGCGATGAAAACATCACGCCCTTTCCTCCTTTTGTCTATCTGCTTGGTGTGTAATGCTGACAACGCCTTCCCGTTCTGGGAGCGAACCCCATCCACTCCCGACTTCCTAGCTTTGCAAGAGCTTGGTTTCTTTGTATTTTGGGTGGGACTATTGCATTGGTCACAAATAAAATTGCTCTAATTGGCCTCATTAAAATGAGCTGAAATATGTGTCCTATTTTTCTATTTTCTCAAGGCATTCAGGAAATATCAGAGTTGTTTGGTGTTTGAGCATCTGACTGTATTCACCTGTAAACACTGGCCTCTTCTTGCTGGGGAGATTGTAAATTATTGATTCCACTTCTCCAGAGCCTAGAAGACCACTGCAATTTTCCATTCCTTCTTCAGAAGGGTTGGAATTTTATGTACCTTTCTAGAAATCTGGCCAGCTCATCCACATTGTTTTATTTTTGTTGTTGTTGTTGTTTTTGTTTTTTCGTACTGGGGATCGAACTAGGGTCCTTGCGCTTGCGCAGCAGGTGGCGAAGCCACTGGGCCAAATCCCTGGCCCCACATTGTTTTATTTTGTGCCATAAGTTGCTCACAATACATTTATGTTATTTTTATCCTTATCCTCATTCATGGGAAGGGTTGTCCGGATAATTCACCTCCAGCTTTCTCTTTCCTAACTTAAACTTATAAATGGTTTCTGGGTGCTGTGGCAGCTTCTCTCCTAGCACGCTCTCATTTTCATAACATCTTTTTTGACTTATGGGCTAATTACACGGGCCTTTTACAGTCCCCCATTATGAGGATTTATTGACGTTAATTTACTTACATTGTGGCCAGAGAATGTGGTCTCCTCCTCGATAACCACCCCTTGAAATTTGTCTAGGCTTGCTTTATTTATGGCCTGCTATTACTTTTCAATACCGGCTCCACAGATCCCGAGAGCTGTGAGACCCTCCCGCTTTGGGTAGCTTCCTGCCTCGCCAATCAGACTAAGCGCTCACTGTGTTGTGAGAATGCGCTGCACTGGCACGCGATGCCTTGGGCCCTGACCATCATCAGCTGTCTGATGGCTTCCTGGCTGCTGCCCTCTTTCCCACTCAGTCTCTCTGTCTCCTGCTGTGAATGTGTCTGTCAAGAGCAGCACACAGAGCCTGAGGCATCTGGCCTGCCGTCCTCCCGCAGGCTCCTCCTCCGGTGCCCCGGGCCTCAGGAGTTCTGTGTCTCACAGCACAGGCTCCGCAACCCTGCCCCCCACGTCTGTAAGCCGTGTTTACGCTTTTCCCATCCAGCCTGTCACACTGGCCCTTTTGGGTCGGGTGGGGCCATTCTGCTGACTCCTGCTCCGTGGCGCCTGTCTTTTTACTACACACTTACTCTTCCTCCGCTGATTCCACCACCGCAGTCTTTGTGGGCCCAGTTCTAGACTTTATATTTTGTGGCTTTCCCCCTGTGTTGTTTTGTTTTGTTTTATTCAGCACTGGGGACCGAACCCTGGCCCTTGCACGGACCTACATCCCCAGCCCTATGATTTTTTTTTTTTGTAACAGGGATTGAACTCAGCACCTTGTGCTTGCAAAGCAGGTGGCGGCACCTCTGAGCTAAATCCCCGGCCCTAGCCCTGATTTGATTTTTGATTTATTTTGAAACAGGGTCTGGCCAAATGGCTACATTGTCCAGTCTGAGCTGGAATTTTCAACCCTCCCGCCTCAGCCTCCCAGAAGGCTGTGCATACAGACAGGTGACAGCACCCCTGGGAGGGGGGCATTTTTAAAGTGTGATTTCATGTGAATTGTAGGCTGCTCCGTGGGAAGAGGTGATGGTCTGGCTTAGCCCTGTAGTCTGGACAGACAGGATTCCCCTCTACGTGACTCTGGGAGTCACTGCACCCTGGGGCTGCTGCGAGCCTCATACTTCGGGGCCGCCCTTTCCCTGCGAGCCAAGGAGGCCAGGGAAGCAGTGAGAGGCAGGTCATGAATGAACAGACCTTGGGCCTGGCCTCCCTCTAAGGAGGGCACTTATCTCTCCACCCCGGAGGGGTGTAGGGGAGGGGAGGATGGGGCCACAGCCCGGGGGTCCTTGGAGTTCCGCTTCTCTCCGAGAGGTGATTTACCATCGATCCCGCCCAATGCCAAGTGGTCAGCCACCCCCCCCTTCTGGGGACTGTCAGCCCCTGGAGGGCTCTGCTGGGTCGGAGAGCGCACAGCGCTCTGGGGGATTGGCGGGCAGCGGAGGACCTGTGGTGAGCACTGGGGCTGCGCGGGGGCATGGCAGCTTGGACTCAACCTGGAGTCTGTGCTGCCATCCTTCCACCCAAGGTGATGTCCCCACCCGTCCCCCACAGTGGCGGGGAGACCTGGAAGGTGGCCTCAAGGCCCCGGCCCAACAGAGCAACTGTCACCTGGCCGTGACAGGTGGCAGGGCAGGGCCTCGCCAGGGACCCTGGGAAACAAGCTCCAAACAGGGCCTCGGCCCGGCCGGCAGGGGGATAAAGTCCTGGTCTCTGCTCAGCGGCCGCCAGGGGCCAGCGCCAGGCTTAGTTAAACTGTCTCGAGTGCCCATAAATCCTCCCCGCTACTTTAAGGCTCATCAGGCCCTCGATTGCCAGTTAAGTGTTTGCTCTGCACAACTGCTCTTGTTAATAGTCTGGCATTCCTGCGTCTAGACTCCGCCGTTCCAGATCGATCTGGCTGAGGATAATGCAGGAGCAGGGGGTGGCCGGGCCCTGATGCCCACATGGCAGCCCCGGTGAACCCCACGGACAGGATGAGGGTGAGAACAGGGCCACAGGTGCAGAGTCCCAAGGCTTCCGGTGGCCCTGAGCTGAGTTCAAGGCAGCCGGGGGGAGCCTATGAGATGTCTGCAGCCCCCTGAGCCAGCCAGGCCCCTTCTTGACCCTGTTTTGTCTGTGTTACTCCCTCATCCTGGAGGGCATGTCATTCCTCCTTGAAAACTCCTACTTATCCCTCAAGACCCGACATGGGTGCTCCCTTCATAGGAGGCCTTCCTTAGCTTTCCAATGATGAGGAGATGAAGCACCCAGGGCCCCCTGAGACTCAGTCAGTCCTCCTTGCCAGGATGTGGGGGACAAAGGGTGGGGGAAGCCTGGCCCCGCCTCCTCCACCCATGCTCTTCCCCCTGCCCTTTTGCTTCTGCTTCTGCTCGTCTGTGAAACACACAAAACACTGCCCAGGTCCCACTCCCGTGACCCACTGCATCCTCTTGTCTCCACCTCCACTCAGATGTTTTGGAACAGGGGAGACGAAGGCACCTCCCACCCCGAGGCGGCAGCTGCCCTGAGGTCCCCGCTGCCTGGAGCGGCCGGAGCCAGTGTCCTGCCTCGATCGAGATCACATCCAGAGTCGCTGCCAAGAAGCCTTTGCCTTTACTGCCCCCCAGCCCCCGTCCCGGGTACATGGTGTCCTAGGGTCTGGCAGAGCCCTGTGCGGGGCGGGTCCTGGCTCAGACCCTCCCCTCTGCCCTGGGCCGGCCGCCGCCTGCTTGCTGGCTGAGCCAGGCCTCCAAGACCTCCAGTCAGTTATTTGGGCCCGCCCTGGTCTGGGCCTCAGCTGTTAACCCCACCCAGGGTCCTCTGCCTCCAGACGACTGAATTCCGATGTAATCAAACACCCCTCTGCCTTGTATGAGCTGTTCTGTTTGTACCTTGACCTGGAGGCTCTGAAATGGCCTCATACATTTTCTTCTAATAGTTTTACTTTCATATCAAGATTTTTGATGCATCTAGAAGTCTGGCATAAGACGTGGTCTCCTTTGTGCTGAAACAGCATCGCGTTCCCAGGTTAAACCTTGCATTTCTGTTTTGCTTTTTTGTTTTTGTTGATCGTTTTTTGAGACAGTCTCTCTGTGCAGCCCAGGGAGGCCTCCAGCCTCAGACCCTCCTGCCTCAGCCTCTGAGTCTCCAGGGCTGGGATTACCGGTGTGCACTGCCGCACTCAGTTGCCAATTCCTTGTTTAAGACTTGGTATGTTCACATGTGTATCTGGCTCTGGTTTGTCCACCCTCGTAAACAAGTTCAATGCTGGGGAGTTTGGCCTTATCAGAGGCAAAGGCCACTTGGACTCCACACTGCCCTCTTTGTGGCTGTTTGGTACAGGGATTGACCCCCAGGGCCTTTGACTGACCACCACCCCAGCCCTTCTTATTTTGGTCTCTTTTTTGTTTTTGTTTTTGTTTTTGGTAACCGGGATCAAACTCAGGACCTTGCGCTTGCTTGCGAGGCAGGCGGCGGCACCACTGAGCTAAATCCCTGGCCCTTCTTATTTTTTATTTTGCGATGAGGTCTCGCTAAGTTGCTCACTTACCCAGACTGGGCTCAAACTTGGGATCCTCTTGCATCAGTCCCCCAGAGCTGTGCCTGAGTTTAAACAAAATCTTGACAAGGTGTTTTTCCTGTGAAGAAGCCAATTCCTTCTAACCTCCCCACACAGTTGTATGAAGCTGTCCACAGCAGCTGCTCACAGGGTGGCCCTCCAGTGTCACTGACATGAGCCAGAGATGCGTATCCAGGGTTTTCAAAGAATCAGGCTTGGGGTCTTGTGTTTCTACTGCTCTCGTCTTCAGTTGCTCTGCCTTGTCATGACCCAGCTGGCTCTCCACCCCCGAGGGTCCCAGGGACAACTCCATCCTGCGGCGGCGAGAAGCCTCACTTTAGGTCTGGACTTGTTCCTCTCTGTGGGCAATTGTGGTATGGCCCTCTCTCGATGCCGGCAGCGGCCTCAGCCACAGCTCCAGGCCAGCCCCACACCGGACAGGGGACGCACACTCCGTAGGGGTGGCCTGCCCGGTACGTGCCGTGAGTTTTCAGGACCTGAGCCCACTGGAAGGCGAGGGACAGCCTGGGCTCAGCCACTTCTTCGGTCACTGTGTGGTCTCCAGCGAGCAGCCGGCCTCTCTGGCCACTTCCACACAAGGTCACAAACGACACCCACTGCCCCAGGGTGCTGTGGGGTGAGGTGACACCCACACACATCAGAGTTGTGGGCACTCTTCCAACACTGAGAACACCCAGCACTGCCCTGCGCCTGCAGGTGAAGGCCCCGTATCCCTCGCTTAAAGTCAGGGATGTGACAAGGGTGTCCACCCCAGGTCACACGGTCAGCCCGGACAACCCTGAGTCCACATGAAAAGTGAAAGGGCCTGGGATGTAGCTCACTGACAAGCCCTGGGTTCCAG